ATGTAGGACTTTTTCCCAAGAGGTAACACGAGTCTCATGACATCTTCTAGCTTTTTGATTGTGGCATTTGTAGGTTCATTTGTGCGATGTAAATAGGTCCAGACAAGCCTCGAGATCACCTGTAGACAGATTGGTCTAGTTCTTGGTTCCTTCATTTTTGCCTGCAGGGGTAATACTAGCTGAAGCCATTGTGTTGAGAAGGTATCTGTGGGCGAAACACAGAGCAACGTCGCTGTCAATGGAAACGCAACAGCCCAGTGACGAGGTTTGATAAACATCGAAGCCAGTCTGGGACCTATGGTTGCTAGCACTTCGGTCCACTTCGGCATATTGAGTTCCGTGTTTGCTGTGGCAGCAATTGGCAAAAGAAGTATTTCAAGCGCCATACAATAGGCATATTTCAGTTGTTGCCCATGAGATGTCAGAAAGAATTTACCAAGATTGATCATGAAATCGCAAGATTGATCCCACGCTTCCTCGGGATATGTCTTGAGACGAATGTGCTTCATACCACCGAGAACTAAGACCATGCGGCCTTCGATATCCCTGTTCACTGGACTTTTGATCACTAGATCCTTCTGCGACTTCTCGAGGTCTGCTATGAAGCGATCAGTGACACTATCAAAATTGATCTCAGCCATAACGCCAAGCAATTGACTGAACAAGAACCAGTTGGCCATTTTGAGAGGTGAAGTGCTCAGTTGATCTGCATCGGCGATCTTCAGTTGCCCGAAAATAATCCCTTCTAGCTTTTCTTCCATCTCAGGAGTTATGCGAGCCAATGTACTTTGGCCAATGACTTCCATTAAGACTCGGCACAGTATGAATATTGAAGCTGTTGATCGACGTTCTGCTTGGGCGACAAAATCTTGCCGCGCAGCGATAGTTGGCAGACCAGCCATTAGATCGTCTTGGTGCATATGAGGCGGCTCAGTATTTCTCCGAGGGAGTTGGCCTGGGAGTAAATTGCCACGAGACTGCAGGGTTTCGTGAGCAACGGACATAGACACTTGGAAATTTCAAGCATACCTGTTGAAGCTGAATCCTAGCCTCGTTGGCAGCATCACTCTTGTTCTTTCGCCATAGCATCATGGAATCAATGAGAGGCTTAGGTTTTTGGCTTGCGATATGACCCAAAGCAGAAATCAGTTGATCAAACGCCGGGTCTACTCCCATTCCGCATATATGTTCAATTTGAGGCTCTGGGTCCAGTGGTAAAGTAACACACTGTGAGATCTTTTCCTCTGCTTGCGCAATAAACTGGAGCATGACATTAGAAAGTATGCCAACAAAATAATCAAGGAGAACTGACTGAAGTGAACAAGACATGCAGAGCATACTCGCCAACAGTTTTCAACTCGTCCTTATGATGTCTTGAATGGGAATGATGATGCGCATGATTTCTTCGACTCCTCCCACTATTACTATTACCACGCTCCATGTTTCTCTGCGTGCTGCCTGATGGCGCATTTTCGGCCGCTGAAGGGCTCCGGGAGGGAACAAATGTTGTATTCGAGCTAAAAGAAGTGCCGCTGGTCATGCTGGATGCGCTGGAGGAGAAATTCGAATCGCCCATGACCGATGCATCTGTCCAATCTCCACCTGCAGCAGCAATTATCTGCGGGCTCAGCGGGCTTGTAGATGAACTCCCAAAGCTCCCATTCCTGGACCGCTGTATGCCATTAACGATGCTAGTATTCCGGTGATGGCTTTTCGCATCTGCATCTATCGACCCCCCTCTTGTACTACCTGTGTAGAGTCGCGGTGATAGATTGGCAGGTTGCGAAGGCGACTCGGAGAAAGCGGCCTTAAGTCCTGCGAAAAAGGACTGATTCGCACTTGGCTCTCGAGAGTGAACACCGGATTTCGAGTTGGTGGTATGCGAGCGTTTCAAGGTTGCAGGGTACGGAGTTACATCAATGTCGATGGGCGAGAAGTTTTCTGTTATACCTTCAGCACGATGATCTGGAAATGATGCTTGAGAGAAGTATCAGCAAGGATGTGTCTCATATGTAAATAAGGGCTGGTCCCCTAAAATGTAATGCAATGCTTTGCGTTAAGTTCTGAGGGTCGGGAAGTTTGAGCTAAAAGACCCTAACGGGCATGGTACTCACTCATTCTGTCACGGGATATTGCCCATATAATTCTCCCTACATTCTCTACTTCCTGGTTGCGCTCATTGTTAGACCACCTAGCTATAGAATTGTAGTTGCTTATCTCGTCGCAGCTGCAATTGGTATTTTCTTCCAACGTTCTGACGTTCTAAATCTACGATTTGCAGAATATCGCGAATGTTCACAGTAGGTTATGTGTTAGCAGCCAATGATTGACCAACCCCTGGAACAGACCCCTGGTGCCGCTGGGCCAGCCCCAGCCCCAGCCCATGGAACACTTTATACGATGTTAATCGTAGACAGAATGATCAATCAATACATGACATTGCACTTTCACGTGGGCTCAACCACAGCAATACGAGACAGAGACAGACCAGAATACGGACGATGCAGATGGTCAAGTATAAGTATATTCAACTGAACACTTGCTACTCAGTTCTTCTCTGCATGTCCATCATTCATGACTCGGTTGTGATAGTAAGACTACCTAGGAATCTTCAAAAGAAGAATCAATAGTGTCAACAACTACTACGACCCAGTTATCAGATAGACTGCAATTATTCATGTAGTAGTGGGTGGTACGGAGTCGAGATGAGCCGGCTGGCACGGATCCCTCTCTTCCTTTCCTTTCCCTTCCCTTCCCTTTCCACGATTCGCCTAGAGAGCCGGGACGAGAGATCCCCTGTCTGTAATCGATAAAGGATCTACTGGTAGCTGTGTTCTAACTTGGAAGTTCTAGATACCCGCGGGCCTGTTTAATATCTCTGAATGGGCAGATATGTGCAGAGTACCTAAGTACTAAGCAGATTGATGAATTTCCGGTGAATTCTCAGTTCAAGACATCTTGAACCTTGAAGGGCTCATCTATTAATACTCACTTAGCTTTACCCCTTTTGTTGAGAGTATTGGCTATATGGCTGAGATATCTCTTAGGTCCATGTTACACATGCTCTAGGAAATATTGAATGTTTAAGATAGCTGGAGGCAACCTACCACGCTACCCAGGGGAGTATTGCGCAGTACATAGAAGAAGAATGAAGCCATTTCTTTCCATCGTGTTGTGCGACGACTGTAATGATAAGGTATAATCACCACTACCAAGCAGGCTGGCTCATGTCAGCAGCTTCTTGGTAAGATGACATGATTTTCCTAGTCAAGTATACACACACCACTCTCCATGCTCCATTTTCCGCGGAGTCAGTATCAAAACCTTATCGAAGCATCATCATATGCCGGATCCGATGTTTTACGACAATTTCACAAAGTTGGATGATGTAAGGAGGATCCCACGCAGCTCTACTTCGTACTCGCATGATATTATTTGTTCTAGATCCCGAGGTCTACCTACTAGGTAGTACTTACCTACCTACACATATGCATATGGACAACGACAATCAATCCCAACTCCGAAGATTCCTAAGGCCGAAGGTCAAAATCATCAAATTCCGTTTGGTCCCACCAAGTTACGTTACCCCCAATGCGGAATATCGGATGTTCCAGCGGCCGGTGCATTTTATCCTGTGCACGTCGATGTCAACTAACTCAGTGCCGACATCTGATTCCGTATGGAAATATTTGTGGTGAGAGAAGTTTTACCTGATGGAACATTCAAATGCTTAGGTAGCCAAGTTCCATGTTTGGGAGGATGGGGGTAGAGTCGAGACGCGGAAAGCAGCCGCTCATTCTCATAGAACAGAAAAATCACTGAACACTACATTGTAACTGTGATGCCATGAATTGAATTGTAGCTTTCTTTCGATTTGCCAGGGTTCGACAATTAAAGTTATCTCTCTCGAGATCATAACCATTACAGTACCGGTATCCATCCATGGACTGGCCAGTGACTACAAGGGGTGCATATGACGGAAATTTTCATCTCCCCAGAAAGCCGGAGTTATGTATGATTGACAGCCAGCCGAGCCCAGCATTCAATGCACACACGGAGAGCACACAGAGCAGGATCCATAGGAGTTACCCATTCATGTATCCATCATGGATGTATATATATGAGGAAACCACGGCCTAAATGGTACGTCCTTTGTTGAGTGCATGTGTGTGTTTGTTGATTCCTCTCATTTCCAACGAAAGTTGCCCTTATTATTCAAGTACAATCTACCTAGTTACCTACCAACCTACCTCGAACTTACCTAGTATTAACCTTGGAACCACAAAGTTTTATATATACACCCACTCACTTACTAGCGGCACTTCCCACCTAGGTGACTTTTCATCGGCTTCATTCACTGTCTTCTCCGCCCGGTCTACACCACTTTGCGCCACTAATCACCAGCCACACCGATCAGCCACACCGATCGTTTCATCCATCCATTCACCTGCATTCCGAGGTCACCACCACTTTCAAATTCACTTCGATCAACACTCAAATTACTTTCAAGCTTTTTCATCTTGTCATACTTTCGGCGTCTTTTCGGATCTCGAACAATATTTCGACCGCTTCCGAAACCATTCAACAACTTTGCCTTTGCCTTTGCCCTCTGCCTTTGCCTCCACTGCCTTTCCGCGATCAACGGGTTGACCGTGCCCTTTTAGAAAGTAAGAGAACAAGAGAACACCTGGGCACTTCTCATACACACTCGACTCGGCTAGGCTTGTGATTGATCGTCCTCAAGGATCCAAAAGGTTTACCGTAGTTACAACGTACATTTTGTACATGTGTACATAATAATTTATATCTGTCGATATTAAACTTTATTTCGGTTTTTTAACACAGTCAGCATAGCGGCGACTTATCTCACCAACTAGCAAGGTGTCATTTCTTTTCGGCTCTTGTTTGAGCATAAGTTCACTCATATCCTCTCCGCCGTTTCTGCGGTTATCCTCTCTTTCAATTTCCTCCCAACCATCGGCAGATCTTCAAAGTTCAAGATGGGTGGACAACTTGACGTCCTGGACATTGTCGTCCTTGGGGTTCTGGCTCTGGGAACGATAGCATACTTCACGAAAGGAAAATACTGGGGTATCGTGAAGGATCCCTATGCTACCAGTTATGCCGCCACCAATGGAAACAAACCCGCAAAGACAAGAAATATCATTGAGAAGATGGACGAGTCCAACAAAAACTGCGTCGTCTTCTATGGTTCGCAGACTGGTACCGCAGAAGATTATGCTTCTAGATTGGCAAAGGAAGGCAAGAGTCGTTTCGGCTTGGAGACCATGGTAGCAGACTTGGAAGACTATGACTACGACAACCTCGATACCTTTGGGGAAGATAAAGTCGCAATTTTCGTATTGGCTACATATGGTGAAGGCGAACCAACCGATAACGCTGTTGATTTCTATGAATATTTCATGAATGAGGATGTTGAGTTTTCTAGTGGTGAGAAATCGCTCGAAAACCTCAAGTTTGTTGCATTTGGTCTCGGAAACAATACCTACGAACACTACAACTCTATGGTCAGAAACGTCACAAAGGCTTTCGAGAAGCTCGGCGCTACAAGAATTGGTGAAGCCGGTGAGGGAGACGATGGTGCTGGTACTATGGAAGAAGACTTTCTGGCCTGGAAGGACCCAATGTGGACTGCATTGGCTGAAAAGATGGGACTCCAGGAACGTGAAGCTGTTTATGAACCGGTTTTCGCTATTACAGACAGAGAAGAGTTGTCAAAGGATTCCCCAGAAGTTTATCTCGGCGAGCCAAACAAGATGCATTTAGAGGGTACATCGAAGGGTCCTTACAACGCTCACAACCCTTACATCGCGCCTATTTCTGAATCCAAGGAGCTCTTCACCGTCAAAGACCGAAACTGTTTGCACTTGGAAGTCGATATTAGTGGATCTAACCTCAGCTATCAAACCGGAGATCACATTGCAGTTTGGCCAACAAATGCTGGAAGAGAAGTGGACCGTTTCCTCAATGTTACTGGGCTTTCTTCCAAGAAGGATTCTGTCATTACTGTCAAAGCATTGGATGCAACTGCAAAGGTTCCCTTCCCTACACCAACTACATACGATGCTATAGTCAGATATCACATGGAGATTTGCGCACCTGTTTCACGTCAATTCCTCGCCACTTTGGCCGCCTTTGCCCCCAATGACGCCATCAAGGCCGAAATGGAAAAGCTTGGTGGTGACAAAGATTACTTTCACCAAAAGATCAGTAGCAACTATTTGAATATTGCTCAGGTTTTGCAGGAAGTTGGTGGTCAAGAAAAGTGGAGCGCTATCCCATTCTCTGCTTTCATTGAAGGTTTGGGCAAGATTCAACCTCGTTACTACTCTATTTCATCTTCCTCGCTTGTACAAAAGAAAAAGATCTCCATCACGGCTGTTGTCGAGTCAATCGATATTCCTGGTAGACCCGACGCTTTGAAGGGTGTCACCACAAATTATCTCCTTGCATTGAAACAGAAGCAACACGGCGACGACCACCCCGATCCCCATGGCCTCACATACGAAATCACAGGACCACGCAATAAGTATGATGGCATTCACGTCCCGGTACACGTCAGACACTCCAACTTCAAGCTCCCATCTGATCCATCCAAGCCTGTCATCATGATTGGTCCTGGAACTGGTGTTGCACCTTTCAGGGCCTTCGTTCAGGAAAGAGCTGCACAGGCAAAGGCTGGCGAGAATGTTGGACGAACAATCTTATTCTTTGGATGTAGAAAGTCTACAGAAGATTTCATGTACAAAGATGAATGGAAGGTGAGTAAATCCATCTCCTCTCAGGAATAAAACAAAGGAGCATTTTAGCTAACATTTCACCAGGAATACGAAGAAGCTCTTGGCGACAAATTCTCGCTCATTACTGCATTCTCTCGTGAGGGCAAGGAAAAGGTTTATGTCCAGCACCGTCTCAAGGAACATGCCAAAGAAATCAACGATCTTCTCATGCAAAAGGCCTACTTCTATGTTTGTGGTGATGCTGCAAACATGGCTAGAGAAGTCAATACCGTTCTTGGTAAAATCATATCAGAGCAACGTGGAATTCCAGAATCAAAGGCTGAGGATGTTGTAAAAAGTATGCGATCCGCCAATCAATACCAGGTATGTTATGCTTTAAGCTTTCACTTTCCTTTCCGCGTTTTCTACTGCTTCACCAAGTTGTCTGCCACTTCGTTTGACTACCTTGGTGGTGGATTGCTATGGTCGCAAAAATTTGGCTTTGAGGGGGCTTCACCAATTTTATCACCTGCCGCACCGCGTTCAACTTTTCAAGTCCTTCTTGCACAAACATAAACTAACATGATTATAGGAGGATGTGTGGTCATAGATACATTATCTCTCGTTTTTATAAACACTGACCTGTACCTTCAAATTCTTCTTTCGTCTTCCATATCCTACACTGTCATCAACCTCCCGAACCCACTACGCCTCTCCTCTCCTTTGCTCTTCGGCAAATCTTCCTAGATTTTTTACTCCTCTTCGATAATTACCGTATCTGGTATTAAGTACCATGCGGTCACCCAGCTTGCCTGCATAGTTTGCCTCTACCATACCTTGTACTCGCCTGCTTGTTTGCTACCTCACGCATACAAAATCATCAAGCCACCAAATCGGATCGATTGGCTCAAAAATCTATCATTACTTGAGACTCGAAAGCAAAGCAAACTTCGTCTTTTTCCTTTTCAAAATCAAGCATAGTATTTGCAATGGGCGGATCTAGACAAATTTGGATGGAGTTTGATTTTTTGACAATCAGATCTGCCTACTCGAGGCTTGGTCGTTTGTCTGCAAGGATTGGATTTAGATTGTGATGGGTGCCCTTGTCTTCTTCACACGGAGGATTTTTTTTAATGAATGGATGAAATGGAGGATTGCATGGAACAACACTGAGGCTGTTTGGGATGAAACGAGAAGGGACGGGAGGGGGCGGAGAAGGTTATCACTGGCTTATCATTTACAACCAGTACATTACTCACGATGCGCGCATGAGAACATAGAAAGCAGATCTCACATGTATTTTTTTTAAAGTTCTTTTTCAAACGTTTTTCTTGTTAGATAGGTTGGGTGATGTACCTATGGTACTTGGGTAGTCAATAAGCCAATTAGAACGATTCGAAATTACTACTTTTGTATATGGATGGGAGTCACTTGAGCTTGCTAGACGGATGATCTTTGCAGGTTGTCTATGTCTATGTGCATGTCTATATCGAGTAATGCAAAGCTTGAACAAAAGTCTAGAGCCATGTGCTAATATTATATCCGTAAGATAACGATATAATACATAGAAGAGATCGCCCAGAAACAATCTCAAAGTATGGACGAACGAACGAAGCATCGCCTCGCTATTATTAGCGCAGTGGCAGAGCAGGGTTTGTAGTTGTAGTTATTGGATATTCTATATATTTTGGTTTATTAATGTTCATTAGTGGGATTGCGTACTAGGTGGGTAGTAGGAAGGGTGTGGGAGAAGGGAGAAGGGAGAAGGGAGAAGGGAGAAGGGAGAAGGGAGAAGGGAGAAGGGAGAAGGGAGAAGGGAGAAGGGAAGAGGGATGGGGATATTGGATATGGATATGGATGTAGATGGGGATGTGCATGGCGAGCTTATTATTTGTTAGATTTTAGATAAGATTACCTATCTAGGTAGATTGGTAGGTAGATAATAACTTATTTAAACCACTACCGTTATCATTATATAATCTCTATACAATCTCTATATAATCGAGCTATAGGTACCTAGGTAGATGGTAGGTAGATTGAATAGTTATATACAACTGGATACCTATATCATTCTTCTTTTATACTTCAACTTATTTACATTTCGACATACTTTCTCACATCTAAACTTATAACTTGTGTTTATATTTATTTTTAACATGGAACTAATTTCTTTGGAAATCATTATCTGAACTATAATGCAGAAGAATGAAAAAAAAAAAAAAAATTAAAAATTAATCGAAGGAAGAGTCTTAATCAAGTGTTCAAGTATCCAAATGTCCAAATGTTTAAATACCAGTGATATGATATGATATGTATCACACTCCAACACAACATCCATCATCAACCATAAACCCCAAGAACCAGAGAACTCTCTCAGAAGTCTATTATTGACTGTATATCTTAGGATCTCAAGAGGGTGTGTAGAAGAACAGCATACGTGTAACAACCAGACAATGCACCAAAACGTAGTCTCCGCGGCTACCTCCGCGAGTCGTCGTTTGTCACTCCTATTTCGAGCATCTAGGCGAGTCTAGACGTGGGAGGGGACTGTAGCGACCCGAGTCGGTTGGTGAGTCAGATGGGATATTGGAGAAAGGGTGAAGAATGCGTATGGGGATTTTAGAAATCTAGATTGTGGGGTTCTTAATGTGATATTGAGTGTATTTGGATTCTGGACTTTGGATGGTGGGTGAGTTTGGGATGGGTGGAGAGATGGTTGATTGATTGGAGGAGTGGATAGGTAATAAGATGGATGGATTAGAACTGATGTGAATGGTCGAATTCGTCAAGATGAACTAAACCCAGAGAGTCGCTTTTAGTTACGACTAGCGCGCCGTTGTTTGAGTTGTATTGATGAGGGGTTTTGTTAATGAGAGAGCACTAGGTAGGTCTTAACTGTAATTAGGTAGCGGAAGGTCAAACTTTCTTTTGGCTACTAGGATGGATAGATAAAGCTGCAGTTCTGATTATATCTGGAACGCGCGGCCGAAGAGTAGTTTGGACGAGGTGCATGGAGACTTTTATGAAGCTGTAGGTAGCGATCCGTGAGAAAGGGCCGACCGGTTGATCCGATTTATCATTAAGCGGGATTTTTGCTCCCCTCGGATGGAGCAAGAGGGGAGCAACGTTTTGACCTCAAAATTCCAGAATGATGTCTATTCGATGTGTTTGTGCTTGGTTTTTCTTTACAGGCCTAGCCGAACAAAGTAAACAAACAGGTTTTCTGTACGGTCCCGTCAAAACATTCGGAGTTAGTTCTATAGATGAGAAAGTCGAATCTCAGGGTGGTGTTATCGTAGGGTGTATTTTCCAAGGTATGTGGGTGGGATTTGGCGGGGTGATCTGGTAGATTGCCAAGGAAGGGTTTCCCACATTGCGCCGTGATTGTTAGCCATCAAGGCAGGCGAGGCAGGGTCGTCTGAAGGCCTAGATTTTGAAATCGAAAATTCCTTCAGCATCTAAATTCAAGATGGCGTTCCTGGAGTTCGTAGATCATTCGCTGAACCGTTATTCCATGATTAGCATAGGGATTTATCTCGCGCAAATTTCCATCTTTGGCTAGACACGCTGTTGAATTCAGGGTCCAGATCTACCGAAAGATTTAATTGCTTCTCAAACTTCCCCATAATCCGGAGCATCATACCCAGATAACGCAAAAATCTCCAATCCAGCGTCCCAGAAACCCGGATTCCGGACACTGAAAGTAAAGCTTGCGAAGATTTCTAACCAGCGAAGGAATCACCATTGTGGGTTGCATATACACAATATACGTTCCAACTTCTTGGTACGTTCGGCCGAGAGGGTTCCATCTTAATTATCTATCACTGATAACCTTGGAACGTGGGTGTATCGTATTTTTTTGGAAACCATGTCAGATAGATGTCCCCAACTTGCAAGGAGACTGGTGGAGAAAGAAAGAGGTCAAGGCGCAGAGAAGGGAGAAAGAAACACCTAGAAAGTAAGATATTCCGGGTAATAATCCCGGCAGCATCCGCGGTTCCCAGCAGCATCGTGTTTTACTCAATCGATATAATTGCGGTCCAATTGAACTGAACTGTGAATTTTAGCCACAAATATTGGTAGCATGTCTTGATCAGCAAATGACTGGATTTCGATGTTAAGGACGGGAAAACGATGGCGGTTCAAGCGGGTAGCTCTTAGCGAAAGTCTAGGCTGAGAATGAGTAGCACAACGCTCGGATTTTGTGCAGTCATTCCTTCACAAGTAACGGAAATCTCGATCTTAACTTGGAATGGTAGAATCCTCTCTGAACCAGACGCACCGAGCAGATTGGATCACCCTCTTGCAGTCTTTTTACAATGCATATTATATAGCAAAGTCTCGAAGGAAAGGCGTATTGAATTGACGTCAGCCCGCTCACAATTCATTGTTTGTAGTTGCTTATTCCCCTGAACACCATAAATAGCCGACACATGAATGTCCCTTGCGTTTGTCTTACCTGTCCCACAATGAGGGTTCGGGGCACATAAAGAGATCTGCGATCCTCCAGATTCTGCACATTTGCAGTGACAACGACATGTCACTCATTGTTTGAATACTTACTTGAGTGGCAGACTACCTTTCCATGCAATTTGCCGACTTCATTAGATGCTATGATTGCTATGATATGCTTTGTTAAGTATTGCTATGCACAATCACCAATGAAGATGTTTGGTAGAAGCCAGGAGTTGCGGAAGCCTATGCTGGCTGAATAGAATCTGTATTCGGTACCTGAAGGCGTAGTTTGGTCGATTTTGTAATCATTATCTATCATATTTGCCTTCAATGAAGCTCGGATGGCTTTAGAACCTATACATACATTCCCTTCACTCGCATAGCATGCACTCGAGAACCGAGGAAAGGTTATCCCTACACTCGGCAGGTCGTTTCTGTCGTGTAATTTGGTGATCATGATAGAAGAAGAAGCAAGTAAGTAACTCACAGGACACTTTGTATCACTATTGAACATATGGCTTTCATACCCTCTTTCTTGCCTATTAGGTATATACCAAGTGAAGTGCGGGAAGGCACATGCATACCCGTAAAACATGCATTTTCCTAAAAGGAGACTATTGTTCCCTCCCTATGTTTGACCTTTTTCTTTATACTTATAAGCTTCAAGTCCACATCTCGACATTGGCGATAGTAGTAATTAATTGTACTTTATCTTTATGTATGTTCGAGCATGTTGACGTGTAAAGATTTTGTAGTTTGAAATCTTTTGGGTGGTCCATTTTGAATTTTTCTATCGCATTATCGTGTTGTGTTGCCGACATCGAGCTATCATCCATTTTCAAATCATACTTCACATCACCGACATGGCGCTTTCACCAATCTTCACAGATGATCTCTCGCCAACATACGCACCTGCCTGATTTGATACATATTGCTTTGCCGTCGTTGCCTTGTTTAAATTATCTCTGGATCTGAAGATCTACCTACCTGGGAACCTACCTATATCACCTCAAATCTACTTATACCGATATCTGCCTCTACCTCTACCTCTACTTCTCTATCCCACATATCACCTGTGTATCTACGACTTCCACAGACACCGTTCATAGATACCCAGCTATCTTTCTAGCCATATCCAAGAATATTCATTCATTCAGACACACAGAAATCCAATAACTGTACCGGCAACTTTGCGAGGGACAGCAGCGGCAATAGCAACTGGTATGTTTATATTTATCTTTTAGTTATAGTCCTTATCTTTGCCTTGATTGCTCGAGTGTTCTGGTAGTAATTGCCCTTCCGTTGTTCGCTCTGTCTTGTTTGATTTTGTTAACATAAGAACATAGCAAAAGGGAACTCGAACCTTCCATTATCATTACTCGAGCTGGTACCCGGCAGTCGTTGCCATTTTCAAAAACTTCAGACGAATACGTTCTTTCTACTTTCACCTCTTTCTGGCCCTTCAATTACTCTTAGCTCCGTGGTCCCCTTCTTAACGAAGTTTTCATCTCATCTTCCTCCTCATCTTCTTCTCTCTCTACTTCAAATCACATTAAGACCAATTCTTCATCACAATCTCTACCTTACAACAACCACCTGGCTCGATAGCTTTCTATCATTCTAGAAAACTCTACTCGCTACTAAATTCATTTTCTTCCCCGTTTCTTGAAAGTAGCTTATTCAAGTTTACTTCTACTCGTCCTATCATACATCTGGAAAACGCTCCCAAAAAGGAAATAGTCTCCATTCAATCGTCTTTTCAAAAAGGTACTTCGAATTGAACTCATTCACTCACTCCTGCACTCTTCTTCTTTCATCCGCAATTGGCGGTTGCTGACTCTGAAAGCCTCTAGTTGAATTGCTTGAGAATACCATTATTGGAGTAAAAAGCGTTGTTCTTGTCAAGAACTGTAAAGTAAGTCAAGCAATGTCTCAATTTTCTCGTTTCTCTCAACTGTATCCAGCGAATCTGTTTCTGCATTGCAGATTCCCGATCGATGATTTCCGGCTATCTGCTTTGTTTCGCTGAGTCACAAACATAATTTCTAACAATTCACTTTCACTGTCCTTATTCACTACCTCTTATCGTTCACAAGAAAATCATCTCTTCAAACTTCCTCACTTCTGATCTTCCCATCTTTATTTGTTTCTTCAATACATTTCATCTCCCATCAACTACATCCTCCATCAATGGTCCACTCATATTTGGTACTAACAAATATCTTACATGCAGGATACCATGTCTTACCCTCAAACTGCTACACATGCTGAAGCAGCAAATACATTCCCAAACCGCACCACAACAACTATGTACACTCAGCAACAAGCTCGCACAACCCGGGATTCTCAAGGTCAGCAAGCCACATTTGCTCAGGCCAGCAGTGGCATTGCCCACGCTGGAGACGGCGCCATGAACGCAATGGTGAATCAATTTGCTGGTTTAGCTATTCCTGGCAGCATGCCTAGTTCTACAGGTCCAATGGCTACTAACCAACATCATTTGGGAACAGGCCAAGTCTACTTTCAAGTTACCCCTGATGGCCTTGTATATGCACCAAGCATGTTCCAGCCACAATCGTTAGCCCCTCAGCAAATATCTGAGAATGCATACAACATGAACTCCTTCCCTGGAGCACTACCCTATCTTGCACAGGCATCTTCGGTCTACCCTGGCTATGTCCCAGGATACCAACAAAATATTCCGTACACACCAAACGCCCGATCTGCCTACTATGCTGACAGATCCGATCATTCTCACTCCACCAAGGATGTTCCTGGTCTTGAAAATCGCCGCGGCTCTTACTCCACTACCGAGTCTCTTCCTGGAACACCGTACTATACCTCATTCGCTAATCGTGAATCTGGTGCTCATATTGCTGCGATTGACCGATCTCCATTCGGCTCTACCCCATCTCCCCAGCAGCTTCCAGTTCCTCATGCCCAATCGCTCGTCAAGGCACTTCCTTATCCAACACTTCCAATCGGTGTCGACATCCAAGCTCTTTTGAAGCAGTTTCCACCAATTCCAAGAGCTGTCCCAGCGGTTTTTACTCCAACCGAGAATATGAGAACTTTGGACCAGAGCTTACACAATCCCATCAAGAACAATCGCAATGTCTACATTCGTGGACTTCATCCAAACACTGATGACGAAACACTCGCACAATATGCTGCCCGCTTCGGTAAAGTCGAGACCTCTAAGGCAATCATTGACACAGCCACTGGTGCTTGCAAGGGGTACGTCATTTCTCTGCAAGGAATCTTCCTACTGCCACTAACAGCTTTATAGGTTTGGTTTCGCTAAGTATTTCGATGTCCGCGATTCCGAGATGTGCATTCGTGGTTTCTGGGAACTTGGTTACGAAGTTGGTTTTGCTAGAGTATGTATTCAGCCATGCCATTCCTTGATGGTAGCTAATTCTCCACAGGAATCTTTCAATGCTCGTCTTAAAGCAGAGGGTGATGAGGCATCCACCAATCTTTATGTTTCCAATTTGCCAAAGACCATGACCGAATCTGTAAGGCAGCCCTCGTAATTAGTAGCCCTTGCTTCAGCTAATCTTGTCTTAGGAACTTGGTGCTATCTTCATGGACTACAAGGTCAGCAGTAGCCGCATTCTTCGCGATTCCCAAAACCACAGCCGAGGCGTTGGATTCGCTCGGTAAGTTGACATTCTCCTCCCTGCCACTGCCATAAGCTTACTTTTGCACTGCAGTTTCGAAAACCGTGATGTCTGCGAGGAGATCATCAGAAAGTTCCACGGTCAGCCCATCGGCGAAGAAGGTCTCTTACTTCAAGTTCGTTACGCCGACACTCCCGCACAAAAGGATTTAAAGCGAATCACCACTGAACGTCGTCAATTCCGCACCAATGAGTACAACGTTGGAGCTTATGGCGCCCCAGCTGCCGACATGATCGCATTGGCTTCTCCCCCAATGCCATCTCCAATTCTTCCTCGGGCTTCTCAGATTGCTCGTCACCTTCCTGGCTCCAGATCCAGCGGATCTTGGAAGAGAGATGGTGTTCTAAGGTATGCTATGCCTTTATTCTTTTACACTGGCGGTGCTAATGTGATTGCAGTCCTGCTGGACGTGTCACAGGTTTCAAGGACTTGGACCGATCGGTTGTCAAAGTTTCCTTGACTGAAGCCTCTCCCAAGAAGCCTTTGACCCAGTGAGCTTATTCTACGGGCAGTCTATGGGGCACTTGAATACTAACTTGTCGTCAGTACCGTTATCACAAGCGTCACTCCAACCGTTTCCGAGAGTGGCTCCGCTGACGATGGAGTCACAATTCACGATTCCCCAGTTGTCGTACACAGCTCATCCATTGCACATAGTGCTTCCATCACCTCTCCATCTACTCGCAAGTAGAGAGATTAACATGGTTCTGTATCATCATACCTTCATGTCAACATTTACTCAATTTTGTGGTCCAAATTTCATTATTGCACGAACACTTACCTCGAAACGAGGCATGCCCCCACTTTTAACGATACCTATTATGATAAATCCATACCTTCCAGCATACATGCTTATTCACCAAGCATACATACATAATCCTGGTCGAAGTATTATCTATGTTACATTACATACTCGCTTCTAGTTCAATATTTTTCGAGGCTGGCGATCTGTACATCCACGAGGGTGTGACATATTGACGATAGTGGTGCGAAACATTACTTTTCATGTCAGCGTGTGAGGATATCAGGCAGATTACTCTTTTCTTTGTAATTTCTTTCGTTTTCATTGCTCTTGTTGCAACAGTACTAGGTAGATAAGACTTTTCTGTAGCATAATCAAGCTAAATTTGCATCAACTTCACATTAAACTTATGATCAAAAGTGTGTGACTTGAAATGAATTTTGAAGCTAGCCACATAATGGAGGATGCACACTACAAATTTGACGATTTAGGACTTGGGTGACTTCCTTCATTTTGGGGTGGCTGATACTCACATTGATGGCTCCGATCGAACATTTTCGAGAGAATCTTGATGTGGTCATACAACAACTGCCGTGGTCCACCTGGGCAATATTACTTCAGCAGTCCTTTTCAAACGCTCTCTCTGCCTCGCTGCATCAAATGTTGATAGCATAAGTCACCACAAAGTAAGAAGCAACTTCTCAAGGCAAGTGATAGGCCGCACATTTATTATCAATTGTTAATTTTGCTTTGGCTGCGAAACAGAATCAAGTCTTCTCTTCAATCTTGAGATTGGACAATGACAACTCTTCCTTGCCATCATTCGACAGTTCAGCATCCCCCTTCGGCTTTATCTCTGCAGCCTCTTCATTCTGCTGTTTTACGTTGGCAGGATCTGCAAGGTCATCCGCTTTATGGCTATCCGCAGCCTCTTTTTCTTCTTCATCCTGTTCTTCTTCCTCCTCCTCATCGTCTTCGTCGTAGTCGTCGTCTTCGTCGTCAAAATCATCATCACTTCTTTCCGCCCCGGGTTCGCCATCACCGTCAACGCCTACCGCTTTCATATATGCCTCGAGCTCTTTCGCCATCTTTTTTGAGAATCCCGATGCCTCGACAGAAACATCCAATCGCTTTACACCATCTTTACCGATAAGTTTGCGAGCATCCTTGAAATGAGGACCCTTCTCATTGCTGGTGAAATGGAATCGTCGGTCAAAAAATCGCTTAATACAGTTGACGTCTCGATCAAAGTAGTATTCTGCATTTACATGGTCGACAGAAACCATCTGTGGAAAATCAATAAGAATGGGAGTCAAGCTGACTATCTCTTCAGGATTTTCTGGGTTCGTCTCTTCCTTGATTAAAATGTTGAATTCGTTGAAATCGCCGTGGATGAGTCCATATTGTGCTAAGCGTAGGATCATGGAGATAAGTTCGGCGTAGAGGGAGGCTGGATCTGGAACGGAAGATATTTGACGCATAGGAAATGCATCGATCAAAGACATAACTATAGTATGTCTAGATTGTGCGAGTGGTTCGGGGACAGGAAATCCATTATCTCGTAGAGCCGTCATAAACGTGAATTCCTTCAGCGCTGCCAATCGTGACATATGCATCCATGATGCCGAGGATCGATGTCGTAAATAGTCTCGATTCGCCTTGACCGTTCTAAATGATATTCGTCCCAATCGATGAATCTTCAGTACCCTCTGCACTCCCTTCTCATCTGCCACCACAAAAATATCACTCTCTTTTCCGACACCGATTTGATTTCCGACGCTGTAAACATCCTTGCGTTTACGATATGTATTTAACGCAAGATAATCGAGTCCTCCATATGTGAGACGATAGCCATCGTATTTTGCGTTCTTGAGGCGTGCGATTAAATTGACTTTTGCGAGTGCGGATATGCATCTATGAACCCCGCCTCGGAGACCTGATAATTGTTCAATGAGTTTGGTAGGAACAACCTCATGGTTTTTGGAACCTTGTTCGACTGCTGTAAGTGTGCGCCAGTCTTCAGCGGTCAAATACCGCATAGCCTTAGTATCCAACTTCATCTTAAAAGTTGTTATTCGATATTGTTGTAATTTGACGTCTCTTCAGAAATTAATTTTTGGGATTTTCTGCCGTTGGGCTGTGAACGGCTACAGATGTGGTTATAGTAAAGGACTATTATATTCACCCTCGTTTGGCGTTGCTTCCTTGGGTGTGTAATTAAAGTTGGTAATGTTCGGCTGCTAGCGACACTACCTGAGCTATGATCTGGTGAAGCTGCTTAGACGCGAAAGCAGACCTGCCTGGAGGACCTTATTAAGAATCAAAAGTTTATCACGAATTCCACGACATACCACTCACTTTCACTACTACTTGACTTGTAGTGATTTATACCCTTCCTGCGCATTGTCTTTAGCCTTTCTTTTCATATTCCCAACAAGTTCAGAAACGCCGCTTCCACATCAACCATTAGAAACAACATGGCGCAAGATGGCGAACCACCAAAGTCTGTTGACAAGGGCAAAGGCAAGGCGGTCTCAGATCCCAAGAAGCCAGAGGAGGTAGAGAAGGATAAAGATGGAAAGCCTATAGCTAATGGGGCGAAAGAAGAGCCGGTCGTTGGAGGTATGTTGTTGGTAATGGAATAGATGGGCAATTACTAACATGGCTGTTGCAATAGCGGAGGAGCTCAGCGAGGAAGACCAACAACTGAAGAGTGAGCTTGATATGCTGGTGGAGAGATTAACAGTATGCAAATGTTCCTCGCTGGATTTTGCAAGCAAATCTAACAATTTTGATATAGGAATCCGACACAAGTCTTTACAAAAGTGCCCTCGAAGCTATCAAAGATTCGATCAAAACCTCCACTTCATCTATGACCGCTGTACCAAAACCTCTCAAGTTCCTCAGACCACATTACGAGCCCATGATTAAGTTGTACGAACAATGGCCGGAAGGGGATGATAAAACATCTCTCGCAGATGTTCTTTCAGTTATTGGTATGACATTTTCAGATGAAGAAAGACAAGACACTCTCAAATTCCGATTGCTTGCACCTACATCAGATATTGCCTCATGGGGTCACGAATATACACGACATCTTGCTTTGGAACTGGGAGAGATGTACAGCAAAAGATTAGCGGAAGATCAACCAACTCAAGATCTTATTGATCTAGCCTTGATCCTTGTGCCATTATTCTTGAAGAGTAACGCTGAGGCTGATGCTGTCGATCTGATGAGTGAGCTTGAGATCATCGAGCAAATTCCAAATTACCTAGATAAGGATACCTACACACGAGCATGCCTTTACATGGTTAGCATGGTCAACCTCTTGACTTATCCAGAGGACCAGACATTCCTTAGAACCGCACACGATATTTACAAGAAATACAACCAACTCACCCAAGCAATTGTCCTTGCCATTAGATTAAACGATCTCGAGCTCGTTAGATCCGATTTCGATTCTACAACAGACCCGGCATTGAAGAAACAAATGGCTTTCCTCATTGCTCGCCAAAGAATAGTTCTTGATGATCTACCATCCGAAACCAGCGAGGACCAGGAGATCATGGAGTGTATGTATAATACTAAGATGCCGGAACATTTCAAGGCCCTAGCCAAGGAACTGAACATTTTGAATCCAAAGACGACCGAAGACATTTACAAGAGTCATTTGGAGAGTAATAGGGTCGCGGGATTAACAAACCTTGACTCTGCTGGGCACAACTTGGCAGCAGGTTTTGTCAATGCTTTCGTGAACGCTGGATTCGGTAATGATAAGATGATGATGGTTGAAGATGAGAAAGCAAGTTGGGTTTGGAAAACTAAGGAAGAGGGAATGATGTCCACAGTTGCGTCGATGGGTACATTACTTCTCTGGGACGTTGAGACCGGTTTGGACAAGATTGACAAATACACATACGCCCCCGAAACTCAAATTCAAGCTGGTACTCTATTGGCTATCGGCATAATGAACTCTGGAGTACGAATCGATTCTGAGCCAGCTCTCGCCCTTCTCGGTGAAGAGGATAAGCTTAACCACAAGAATCCTCTTGTTAGAGTTGGTGCTATTATGGGTCTTGGTCTTGCTTATGCTGGGTCAAACAGGGAGCAACTTTTGGAGCTTCTCTTACCTATAGTTACCGATACTTCCGTGGAAATGCAAATTTCCGCCATGGCAGCTTTATCTTTAGGTATGATTTTCGTTGGATCTGGTAACAGTGATATCACTGAAGCCATCTTCCAAACTTTCCTTGATGATGATCGCAAATCTCAGCTCAAGGACAAGTGGACTCGATTCATGGCTCTTGGTTTGGGTCTGTTGTTCTTTGGGCAACAAGAGAATGTGGATGTTATCCTCGAGACTTTGAAGGCTGTTGATCACCCCATGTCTAAGCCAACAGCTGTTTTGGCAGAAATCTGTGCCTGGGCTGGAACTGGAACAGTTTTGAAGCTCCAAGAACTTCTCCACATCTGTAATGATCATATCGAAGAAAGTGATGACAAGAAAGGTGATGAATTACTTCAAGCCTATGCTGTTCTCGGTCTTGGTTTGGTCGCTATGGGAGAAGATGTTGGTCAAGAGATGGTCTTGCGTCAATTTGCTCATTTGATGCACTACGGTGAAGCCAATATCAGAAAAGCAGTTCCTCTCGCCATGGGTCTGCTAAGTCCTAGTAACCCACAGATGAAGGTTTATGATACATTATCTCGTTACAGTCACGACAATGACAATGATGTTGCAATTAATGCTATCTTTGCAATGGGTCTCTTGGGTGCTGGAACCAACAATGCTAGATTGGCTCAATTACTCCGCCAATTGGCTAGCTACTACCACCGTGACCCTGACGCTCTGTTCATGGTCAGAATTGCCCAGGGTCTGCTTCACATGGGTAAGGGAACGCTTTCCATCAACCCATTCCACACCGATCGCCAAGTACTCTCTAGAGTCGCAGCTGGTGGTCTTCTCTCCGTCTTGGTTGCTATGATCGATGCCAAGCAATTCGTCACAACCAAATCACATTACCTCCTATACTACCTCGTTACAGCCATGCACCCTAGATTCCTCGTTACTCTTGACGAAGATCTTAAGCCATTGACAGTTAATGTCCGAGTTGGACAAGCCGTTGATGTTGTAGGACAAGCTGGTCGTCCTAAGACTATCACTGGTTGGCAAACACAGAGTACCCCTGTACTTTTGGCATATGGCGAGAGAGCGGAATTGGAAGACGAACAATATATTAGTTTGAGCAGTAATCTGGAGGGTCTTGTCATTTTGAGAAAGGTATGTTACGAATCCCTATAATCCTCTGTATATATATATATAAAGTTGAATGAATGCTAATTTTGAAATAGAACCCAGAGTGGGAAGATGGAAAAAGCTAGAGTGTTGAGAGATAGCAAAGGAAAGGAATATTAAACTATTGTATTATAATGGAGGGTGGGGAGGAGCTATAGTAGGTAGACTTGCATACCATGTTCCCTTGAATTAAGGGGAAATGTGGGACAACTACGCAATGAAAATGAAAAAATGAAAAATGACAGACGATAGATGATTTGCAGTGCTATTGGGTTGATGAAATCAAGATTCTTGGCATCGTGATATGGTGTGATGTGATTTTGTTATATTGCAATTTTTAGTGAGAGTGTGTAAGGAAATGTAGGTCGGGAGGTAGGTAGGTAGGTGCGATACTTTCTGTCATGAGTGCTTCACAATTATCGCAATAAACAAACACTAGGCATCTAAAGATCAGAGTTAAGACACAACATTTTCACTAGAACACGAAGGATATTATCTCACCTCAGTTCACTCACTCATATGAAAGGAATATATATTAGAATGCATAAGAACACACCACAGAATACAGTTCCTAGGCAGTAGTAAATATCTGAGGTGTGAAGTATAGAGTAGATATAACGCAAAGGGTGTTTGTTGTATTATACTTTCTATCTCAAGCATTATATGCCACTATAAACTTCCCCATCCCCACCCCCATTCTCAAAAAGCGAGATAATGCAATTGCGAAACTGGACTTGGCTGCCTCTTTCTAATATGCTATGCTATGTTATATGTGTGTGTATACATGCTGATATTCCCATAATTACAATATCTACCTAGGTATATTTTCATCTAGCCACATGCCATGCAACGCAATGCACTGCACTGTACAGATATATAATGCCCCTTCATCTTATCCCATCCCAAGATACATGATATAATACAACAAAGCGAAATCCACCCCTCCTACCGATTCCTCACAGTTCCGGTCTCCCCAAAATGAGAGTACAAAACCTCTCTCAGCACCGTTCAAAAACGCGATACAGCCCTTTGAGATTCGCAACCTCGAGAACCGCGCCGCCCATCAACTCTCTCGTTGCGAGTAGCCTAGAGCGGAAAGCTGGGAACAGGACATCTTCGACCATTTTCCTCACTGCATCTCTGCGCTGTTTGAGTTCGGGGGAGATGGATGCTGTGGGATTTTGTGTTTCGTTGCCATCTTTCTGTTGATCATCTTCTCGATGTTCAGGACCGGGCGATGGGGGTAATTGCTCTGGAACATAGAATCTAGCTAACTCCTGGAGGAAAGAGGAAAAACATTCTTTCTCGTCATTCCAATTTACATGCGGACCTAGACGGAGGAGAAATTGCGGGAGTTTAGATAGAGCGGGTGTATAATTTTTGAGGAGAAGGGGAATTCCTTCCAGAAGACCATCCGGGGTAATGAAGAGCGAGAAATACTCCTGTAACATTTCGCGTCGGGAGATGAGTTGTTCGGAGACGATCTCTACCACGTCTTCGACTTCGAAATCATCTTCTGGGGATGTGTTCGGGGGCTGAGTGGCTTTTTCGTGAGTGGCCGCGAGAGTCAAGAGGGACGCGAGGGATAAGGGGGGATTGAAACGGATTTCCCCAAAGTTTCCGAAGTCGGTAAGGCCGACTTGGTAGAAGAAGGCAGAAGATATAGCGGCGTAGTCGACGAGGAAGAGCTTTACACCAGACTGAATGGCAGCAAGACGACGACGCTCATCGACTATACCAACGAAGGTATGGCTGGCGAAGATT